ATTACTTCCTAGAAATAACAACTGTGAAACCATTGAGGAAAGTCATTCTGTAAACCGTATACTGACCAATCCCTCAGCGTTTTCTTTGTGGAACGCGGCGGAACATTTTAAGAAATACGTGCATGAGTAAGCTTGGATGATAGAAATTAGGTATTATTTTGATATCGATAAACTTTTGGAGAAGCGTCACAACTGCCGTAGCATTTCTCGTAAGTTGAATAAAAATGTGATAGTCACGTAAACAAGTGAAATTAGTATTCTAGATCCAATATGGATTCATCCCAATACTGACCGAGATTACCTTTGAGATGGAGATTGCAGGAAATGCTCAGACACCATTTTAATCATATTATTTGCGGTTATAAAATACATTCGACCTCATGTATGTAGACAATCCTAGTGTTGTAATCCACAGTGAAACAAGCTCATGTCAATGTTGTCATTTCAGGATGATGTCCGTTTCTGTCTGGAGTTTTCTCGACAGTTCCTGGAGATTCTCGGGACGTACGCCAACATCTGATGAATGGATCCGCTGAATACATTCAATCTATAATTAAGTTCTTTAATTTTGACACTTCCTCATGCAATTTTTAGAATTGTGTTTGTGTATTTTGTACAGTACAAACAGTAATTGGTCAGATGTTCCTGTACTTGTTGGTATGACTTGTACCCCACTTCCTGTCTCGTTGTCATGGTTTCTTGTGTACAACCCGTATGTGTGTTGACCGATACGTATCTCCTCCTTACTATATGTGTAGGTTTCCTAGTGATACACCTGCACGTGTCTTACCATGTTAACATTTTAACAGTTAATGATTTCATACCAATCCAGTTGTTTGTTTGTTTGTTTGTCTTTTTAAAGCCGCACTCACCAATACTCCAGCTATGTGACGGCGGCCTGTAAATAATCAAGTATGGACAAGACAATCCAGTGATTGACATCATGAGCATAGATCTACGCAACTGGGATCCGATGACATGCATCAACCAAGTCAGCGAGCCTGACCATCCGATTCCGGTGGTCGTTTCTGACGGCAATCATAGTCGCCTCTTACGGCAAGCATGGGTTGCTGAAGACCTATTCTAACCAGGATCTTCACTATAAACCATTGTCTAAAGCACGCACCCAATAACGTAAGTACCATGCGTCTAGCAACACTCTACGCTTTAACTATAAGGCTACACTGTCAAAGTTTACATGGACAGTGTGTACTACTTAGAACCCGTCAAGTAGATCAACATAATTAGATTGAAAATATATGTGCGTTGTTTATGTCAATGTTTGAAACGGTGGCTTACTTGCGTCACATCGCTTGATCCATGTGACACGTGCCGGGTTCCTGGAGTACAAAACATCAAGACCTTGAGTGCAACAAGAGAGGAACGCACCACGTGCAGGATCTTATTGCAACCAATCGGGGTGCCCACTGCACAATGGCGGCTCACGCACTTGGATTAAAAGATGACGGTACGTTTAAGTTCTTTCAGATGCCGTCATCAACTTTAAAGACGCTTACTAATACGAGAAAGACATACCAATAAGTATGCCTATTTTATACACTAATGACGTCATTGAAACTATAGACTGGAACTGCATACCAAGCCAGTACTATATTCTCGGCAGCAGCAGCCCCGCACTGTGTTCAGGAGGTTGTGAATTCTGGAAACATGCAATAGGACTGGAATCCAGGCCACACGATACTTCAAATGAACTTCCATGTAAAACATTTTTATTTATTCATTTATTTTATTTATTTTGTTTTATTTTTTATTTGATCCTCTTTGCAAAGTAGAATATGAAATCCCTTGGCGTGAATATGTGGCAGCATTGAGGGTGACAACTGCATTTGATATATTGGGAGATCAGTCACGTATAATACAATTATAGCAGCCACGTATTTCCTGACAGTTAAACCAACATTTAGGGCAAAAAATAGTTAAGTGTATATTTATATATATATTTATATATAGTGTTTATTTGTTATCTAACGCCGCGTTCCTGTTCTAATCCTGTGTTAAGGAATCACTATGATTCAGTTCCCATACCACGTCTCCCGGACAAGGCGGGGGTATCCTGGCACCCGTCAAAACACTTTCAGATTTAAAGCAAGCCCCCGTTTGAAACATCGGCATTAACAACGCTAATATAATTTCAGTCGAATTATGTTTATCTACTTGAAGGGTTCTAAGTAGTACTCACGTGTCGGATTGTGAATGTAAACTTTGACAGCGTTTGTGTTGGCGGTGACACAATCAGGATCGGATATTATGCGACCGTTACTATTTGATGGATTGCAGGTTATGTGCAACACACATTAACGGGAGTTGCAAAATATCTAATTTACGTACAGCTGTATATTTTGTTATGTTATATCTAGAAAATATATTTTTCATTGTCTGAACTTCTCATTTTCCTGATAATAATCCAAGCTTTTAAAAAGCTCTTTTTTAGCCATGATAGTGTCTGGCTCGTTGTGTACGTGTAGGAAGATAGGGTCCCCATTCAACCGACAGATATATTTTTTAAGTTACATTTTATAATCCTCATAGTGTCTACGAAATGAATGTTGATGTTCCCAAGGTGAAATATTGTCCCATAGTGTCCATTGTCGGCCATATTAGATTTCCGATGAAAATCTATAATCGGCATAATGTTTAACCTAGACATGGCACATAACGTATTGAGCATGAGGAAGCGATTTTCATGATTAAATATCATTTTAACAAGTTGGGTATATTTCTCTATATACAGAGCAAATTCATGTAAACATAGTTTAATTTACCTAAACTGATAGCTATTCACAAAAATAACAAGCTATGAGTTTTAATAAGTTGGGTTAGTTAGTTATTTTTGCGAATAGTTTATTTATTTAAGTAAATTAAATAATGTACCTTCCAGACTCCATGTTTATCATATTTGCAAGTCTTTGAGTAACATATACTGACTTGTTTAGACGTTTTTCGAGTTTTGATGTACCAAACATTTTAAAATAATATTTTAATTATGAAACTAACCCTTTCAATTGCTTTAGTCTTATATGTGTATGGTCCATGTCTAGTTCAAAGGTTATGCCGAATATAAATTTTCCTCGGGAATCCAATATGAATGCCAATATGGCGGAAAATGGACACTATAGAACAATATTTCACATGGGGAATTTATTTAGTAAACACAATGACGATTGCAAAAACGTAAGTTAAAAATAATATCTTTCGGGAGCATGGGAACCCTATCTTTCGAATTCATTTTTGGTTATAACCTTGTTGACACGCACGTGGTATGTGCTCTCTTCTCATACCATATTTGACTAACATATTTTGGTCATATATATAAAAAAGGATTGAATAATAATGAAGAATGACATAGGTGCACAGTTTATTGAGGATGTCTGACAGTGAGAGAATAATACATCATAGATTGGGATGAGAATAACACGCTTAAATTGGCAGCATCCGGAAGTAATTGATCAATAGAAAGTGAATGAAGCGAAACAGACTTTGACATAAAGATGACGTAGCAACAACGTTGTTTAACCGTTTGAATGACAGTAAGATTATGGCCCTTGACGCTTGAAACAGAATCACGAAATATCACGATGTTTAATTAACGAAGATTTACAAAGCTACTTTTGTGTTAATATTTGAAAAGTGAAAAGAAGCCATTCCACCGATAAGGAATATTACTTAAAGTAATGATAATAAATGTAAAGTCCGCTTTTCAAAAAAATATCCAATTTGCTAGCGATAAAGATCATCATTGTGTATTGTTCACGTGGTCACATATGCAGCTATCTTCGTTGAGTAATCATCGCGATATTTCGTGATTCAATTTTAACTGGCGAGGACTATAGTACTCTACCGTTTAAATCACAAACAACTTTAAATTCTCACATCAAATTTCCTTTCACCTTTGACTGTACTAAATAAAGGAGTATCCGAGGATGATACCTGCCACTGCACGGAATAAGGATAGCTGTGTGTCTAGACGCTAATCATAAACATATCCAAAAAATAATCAAAATCATGTAATTAATTTCCTCTTTTCACATTGGTATGGAGGTGGTGGGGTGGCCTTGTAGTTAAAGCGTTGAGTCGTCGAGCCAAAAATCTGGGGCGTTGCAGTCTCTGAAAACTCATGTGTGAACTGTTACTAAACGCATGGTATATAGATGAATAAGTGAGTGCTTAAGACAATGGATATTGGCTGATTCCAACTGGCAAGTCCAACATAAGGCATATTTGTCTGGTCACTCCAAAGTCAATTAAGCGTGAAATTACTTCTTGCAAAAACATCTCAAACGGACATAAAATATCAATAAAATCATTCCTTCAATAATTCTCAAATGCTTGTTTATCCCACCCAGGCCTGGTAACAGAGTGGTACTGTAAAGCTTGACTCTTGACTTCTTGACTTTTAATTCCCGTGTGAACTTGTGATCCGTAACGATCAGGGTTAAAATAAATCTACAGCAACCGATGTGTGCCGTAAAAGGCGACTATGTTTGTCGTAAGAGGTGACTAACGGGATCGGGTGGTCAAGATGGCTGACTTTGTTGATTCATGTCATCGTACCCCAAACACGTGGATCAATGCTCATGATATCAATCAAAACATTGTCTGGTACAGACTCGATTATTTACAGAACGCCGTCATATAGCTGGAATATTGCTGATTGTGGCGTTAAACAACAAACAAACATCTTGATTGGTATGAAATCATTAACTGTAATAATGTTAATATTGTAAGACACGTGCAGGTGTATCACTAGGAAACCTACACATACAGTAAGGAGGAGATACGTATCGGTCAACACACATACGGGTTGTACACAAGAAACCATGACAACGAGACAGGAAGTGGGGTACAAGTCATACTAACAAGTACAGGAACATCTGACCGAATCCTTTTAGTACTGTACATAATACACAATTATTTTTTTTCTAGAAACTACATAAGGAAATATTAAAATTAAAGAAAATAATAGATAGAGTATATTTAGTGGATCTGTTCATCAGATGTTGGCGTACGTCCCGAGAATCTCCAGGAACTGTCGAGAAAACTCCAGACAGAAACGGACATCATCCTGAAATGACAACATTGACATGAGCTTGTTTCACTGTGGATTACAACACTAGGATTGTCTACATACATGAGGTCGAATGTATTTTATAACCACAAATAATATGATTAAAATGGTGTCAGAGCCTTTCCTGCAATCTCCATCTCAAAGGTAATCTCGGTCAGTATTCGGATGAATCCATATTGGACCTAGAATACTAGTTTCACTTGTTTACGTGACTATCACATATTCATTCAACTTACGAGAAATGCTACGGCAGTCGTGACTCTTCTACATATGTTTATCGATATGAAAATAATAGCTTATTTCTATAAATCAAGCTTACTTATGCAAGCTTTTCTTAAATGTTCCTTCGCGTTCCACAAACAAAATGGTGAGGGGTCGGTCAGTATACCGTTTACAGAATGCCTTTCTTCAATGCACCAATTTCTTTTACAGTTGTTATTTCTAGGAAGTAATGTGAAATTTACCAGTAGGGCGGGACATACTTTCCCTATTTGCGAACACCTGGGGTCATCACTGATTTTCAGTGATCCATTAACAGCTATTTTGCCTGTCGTTTCATTCTATAGTTGACGCTGCAACCATTACGACCTACCATTGTAAAGGGTGCACCTCCATGACGAGAACACAGTCTCCCCATATCAGTGATGACGTCAACAGTTCCGTCGTCCTTCAGTCTGCTGGCGATGTTCACAAGCAGCACCAGGAGCAAGGATTCTGTAGCAGTCCTGGAGGCATCACAGAGATATGATAACATTAGCTGGAGCCAATATTAGTGCTGGAGCACAGGTATCTTACAACACCGATTAGCTGACGCAAATATTTGTACCAGAGTGCATACATATTGGATTATTAACTGGAACTGATATTAACAAGCATGAAATATTAATATCCCCCATGACCGTTTGTGTGCAAGGCAAGAAATATTTGTATGTTTTTCACGATCTGCTCCGGACACGAGCACTACAGCCATGTTCAGTCCAAATCAAAGTAGTTGTCATGGAAACACGAAATATATTTTTTTTGGAAATCCCAAGCTATCAAAAAGCACCAGTTTACCACTAGACTAATCTATATGCGAAGTTTGGTTAAGATATATCTCATGGTTTTTGAGTTCTGCTCCGGAAACGAAACGTGACAGACGGACGGACAGCACCCATTCCTATATCCCGCTTCAACTTCGTGGCGGAGGATAAATAGTGAATAACGCAGAGATATCACAACACTGATCACCGGAGCCACTGCTGCTGGAATCAATATGTGTGCTAGAGCACAGAGATATTAACTTAAACCAATATTAGAGCTAATATGGAAAGCATTCAGTAGGTGCATGATGAGATCAAGGGAAAAGTGCGAGTAACGAAACTTTACATACCTGGATACAATCATACTGGAGCCTCGTTCTGGATCTTGTGTCCATGTGAGCAAGTTGTCTATCAGCACAGCGACACCTGGATCACGCACACTCCCAGTCAGGTGGTAGTTGTGGATCGTGGTGGTGGTGGTGGCATCATCCTGTGCCATGGGTAGATCAGTGATTGTGTCACCAAACTTCACACATGAATCAGCCTTGTTTCACAGTAACCGATTGAAATAATTCGTTTATTAACTGAATTTAAATCAATTTTTTTAATGCGAAATTAAAAAAAACGAAAGAAATTATCAAAACACTAATTTCTTAAGAGCTCGTCTAGGGCCTTGCACGACAATTCATCTGAATCGGAACACGTCAGTTAATTGTTACACGTTATTCAGATATTGATCTATTTTACCTCTGGTACAGGTATTCGTGTCTTTTCTGAAGATTTGCTGTCCCCAACATAACTGATAACAGTTTCAAAGATAATAATACTTGATATACGACTTGACTTGCGATATCAAGAAGCGGTTTCATTGAGAAACCTATTAACTACATCTTCTGGACACGGTAAGAGAAGACGTGGATGTTGTGAAAGGCCGTAGTATTCCAGCTGTATAACGGGGGCCTGTAGATAATCGAGTCTGGATCAGACCAAGTAGTCGTTGACAAATAAAAGCGACAAAACCCGTTCCATATTCAATGGAAACCTCTGCTAAAAGCAGAGTCGAGTGTGTGTTTGTGTGTGTGTGTGTGTGTGTGTGTGTGTGTGTGTGTGTGTGTGTGTGTGTGTGTGTCAGACACTGTATACTGACTTCGAGCCGATCATTCCTCATGTTATCCCCTTAATGCCGAGGGCTAGGTAGGGTAACATATTAAGTAAGTAGCATCTTTCAACATATTTTGGTTTGACGCTGCGGGGGGTCGAACCACTGATCCCCCGCTCTCCGGACAGACACTCTATCAATACGTCATTTTACGTACCTTTGTTCCAAGATCAATATTGGTGACTGAGATACCATCTGATAACATAGCCTCCCTGCCAAGTCTCGCTGTGAACAACGGTGTTTCAACGGCCTTGTCTGATGACGGGAGGTACGCCTACAAAAAGTAAATACCCCAATGTTTCAAGAAAGGGCGTTTTCACCGCCTTGTCTCCTGACGGGAAGCACGCATACAGAGAGTAATTACTCTTCATGTTTCAAGCAAGGGTGTTTTAACGGCTTTGTCTGGTGGCGAGAGGGGGGCATACAGAAAGTAAACACCTCAATGTTTCAAGCAAGGGTGTTTTAACGGCTTTGTCTGGTGACGAGAGGGGGCATACAGAAAGTAAACACCTCAATGTTTCAAGGAAGGGTGTTTTAACGGCTTTGTCTGGTGACGAGAGGGGGGCATACAGAAAGTAAACACCTCAATGTTTCAATGAAGGGTGTTTTAACGGCTTTGTCTGGTGACGAGAGGGGGCATACAGAAAGTAAACACCTCAATGTTTCAAGCAAGGAGTCTAAGATACATACGTTTGCAAAGAAAATGTTTTGGAACTTGTTTTGGTCGCTAACCTGATTATCCTGACCCCACGTGATGAGCGTGCGGGATTCAGTGTTATACACCGCGTTCCAAATATCTTCTTTGTTGGGACATGAACTCATGATGTAGAAACCATTATTCGATGAATAAGACTGAAAAACAGAAAAGATTTTGAATCGGTTGAATTTTTTCATGAGCTTTAACTCGCCCAGTCGTCTTATGTGCAGCATTCCGCTGTTCAGAGTTGTGTCCATTTTGCACACTAGAAACCTATGGTCGTGGGTTCAAATCCCTGTTTGCTCCAGTTTTGTTTCTCGGTTTGGCAGCACCATACCCATGATTATGAGTTTCAATTAAGTGGTAAACGTCTGTGACCTGCAACACTTCCGGCTTTCCTCCCACATTAAGCTGACATAACGAGATATAACTGGAATACTGTTCAAAGCGGCATTTAATCCAACTCACTCACTCACTCAACCAAAACCGAACGTAGAAAACATGAGTCGTTTTTTATTTGACATCGTTTTTGCTCATTTCTTGTATTGTCCTTTGTGTTAAGTATATCCCCCCTATTATTACACGTTTTACTTACAGGCACGGTGATGATATTCCTTCCATTGTCCACTGGATAACATAGAATTGTTAAGTGCATATTATCAATAAGAGTATTTTCTTCATATACATTCAATGTACAATATATTCAAAACATCAACGCCAGAGAATTATCAGTCCCGATTATGTGCAGAAAGAACCTCGGGCGTAAATGGCAAAGTGGTGATGAAAAATATTTGATTGGATCACTGAATTCGTGAATTCCCCTGAAAGTCTACGATCTGGAATGACTTAACCAGGCCTTAGAAGCCAAAGTGACACCATGATTGGTGGAACATCTGATCGCAGTTTAGTCTATTTAGACCCTTCCTACAAGCAAAAGTTAAAATCCGACAAACCAACATTAAAATCGGTGAAATCGTGTACACCACATTCTCTTGATCAATTGAAAAGGTGCTTTGATTGTACCGCTTGTGGCGTGTTAGATTCTTGACGAGCTGATTGTCACATTACATAAACTTGAAGGGCGTTAAGACAATACTTGACACAGATAAGAAACGAGCAGAAATAAGTGTTGCAGATAATTTGAACTTTGCCGTTGAGTTAAACATGTTCTTCGCTCGCTTTGACATTACAGGTTTCAGTAAAGAAATGGACTTATTGAGAAAGGCTTTATTGGATTGTTAAACGCTGGATGTAACTACCTGTGATGTGCTACAATCATTTTCTGATTGAAATGTCCGCAAAGCTACAGGTCCTGATAATCTATGCTGGTATGGTGTTGAAGAAATGATGTGATCAACTCTGTCATATTTTCAAAAAAGTATTCCAAACGTCTATCGATAATAATGTTATGCCTTTACTTGAGAGGACATCTTATGTTATCCCTGTTCCAAATCCTTCTGTTAATAATGATTACCGACCCGTTGCTTAAACATCCATACCTATGAAATGCCTGGAACGTATTGTTAAATTTTACTTATAAGACATCTTATAAGTATCTTAAACTTGATAATACAATACTCACTCTTATAGAACATTTATTCAAAGCATTTTAGTTTTTAATGTTAACTGCTTGTATGGAAGCCTGTCTGTTCAAAATAAATCTAAAGTACACACAATTTTAAATACAGCAAGGAAAATCTCAGGTACTCAATTTTAACAGATCGGCGAAATTTGTGAGCAGTAAATTGTCAAAAAGGGGCGTACGATACTTAATGACATCAGTCATATCCTTCATTCCGAATATAAATGTCTACCTTCTGGTCGCCGACTGCGCATGTCGATGGTGAAAACTAACAGGGCCCGGAAATCATTCATACCATCCAGTATTAGTCTTTTAAATGTTTATCTGTTTAATTCATTTTAACAGTTCACTGTACACTGTACACCTTTTATATGACGATCCCTAGCCCATTTTTATATTGTGTTGTTGATACTTATGGTTTTTATATATTCTCAACTAGTTTTAAATTGAATCTGTGATATGCTAGTTATTGTACTGTCCTTCGTTGACAGCTTTTTATTTAGTCTAAATCTTTGTATTATTAATGTACTTCTCGTCACGATATGGCTGAAATACTGCCGATGTGACGTTAAATCTTATCTCACTTAACTCTTATCATTATCCCTTTTATTAAAGTGTACTCTTGCTGTGATGTAAATACATATACCTTAATTGCACTTCCTTGTCGTCACTGTTATAGTGTTCAATGTTCTATTTGTTTTTCCTCTTGGTTAAATTAGTAAGTGTACTTATGTACATAATTGATATCACATATTTTCTTTCTTTCATATTTTAGTGCTATTCAACTGTGCAATTTGCATTTCCCTTGGGATACTAAAGTCGTATCTTCTCTTATCAGCTGATAGGTAAGCAACACAGTGATCACAGTAGTGCAGTTGTATGATGTGTCTTTATAAAATAGAAGGATCTTCAGCACGTTACGTAACAATGGAACAATTCAAGGACATAGCAACATCACATCAATTTCTTGTTTTAATTATGATCTACGTGTCCAGTACAAGCATACATATGACTTATATCAATGTAATATTCTATTCTACTTACGGGGAGGATTATCGTGCAGAGCCTGCAATGAATAGAAATACTCAATGACGTACATGTAACCCGCTACACCTTTCCAAATACACCATGAGAAACACAGGCAAATACTTATTTGGCACAGGTTTTGTATACTTCCTTGTTAGACGGAGTATATATCTGTATCCTCGCATCCAGTATAGGGGGGAGGGGAAAGCAACACACGATAATATTTCTAAAGTGTTGTTTCTCAATATGGTGCCACTATGGCGGCACTGTTGCGCCATTGTTTAACGCCGTACTCAGCAATATTCCAGCTTTATGACGGCGGTCTGAAAAATAATCGAGTCTGGACCAGACAATCCAGTGATTGTCATCATGAGCATCGATCCACGCAATTGATCGATCGATCGATCCACATGCATCAACCACGTCACCAAGCCTGACCACCCGATCCCGTTAGTCGCCTCTTACGACAGAGATTGAGTAAACAGGTTCCGGATAAAGTCAATTATTCCCAATGATATGTGATAGAAAAGTATGGTGAGTGAGTGAGTATGGTTTTACGCCGCTTTTAGCAATATTCCAGCAATATCACGGCGGGGACACCAGAAATGGGCTTCACACATTGTACCCATGTCGGGAATCGAACCCGGGTCTTCGCGTGACGAGCGAACGCTTTAACCACTAGGCTACCCGACCGCCCCTAGAAAAGTATGGAATACCGGCAGGACATTTGCTTATATAGATCATATATATGAACTTGTACATAACTTTTGTTATAAAAATATAATATTATATACAGGAATTTAATAAATTCAAAACGTCAATGCCATAAAACTATCAGTCTCGAATATCTGCCGAAAGAGATTCTAAGGGGCGAAGAAGGCAAAATAAGCATAGTCGCCTTTAATGGCAAGCATGGGTTGCTGAAGACCTATTCTATCCCGGATCTTCACAGATCAATCGCGTTACTAATCAGCTACTCCGAGCCAACTTTCGCGGCATTTTGTAGCCATTTTCGTAGTATTATCAAGCCTTTTGCGAGCCACACTAACGATACTTTTCCGGCACTATCGCGGACGTTTGGTGAAAGCATTTCGCGACACAGGAAAAGGAACTTTTGAATTGAGTATGAAAGGTTACAATATTCAATCAATCAATCAGTTTATTCATATATAACTGTAAGGCCACAGGCCCATAGTACAGAATAGATGACAATGTGGAAGCGGTTAGGAATGTTACAAAGATTCATTTCTTAATAACATGGCATGATATATAAAGAGAGAGAGATGTTGTATAGCCGTTTTGCTCACATGTGAAATTAAAGAGATAAACTTGTATTTATTTGGATGTACATAGTATTTCTGTTCAATATATTTTTTCATTAAATTATCATATTTACAACATACAAGTAGAAAATGAAATTCATCTTCGACAACATTTAAAGAACATTGTTTACATAATCTTAAACATTTGGGTATTTTGTTGTGCCTGCCAACTTCAACCATTAACCTGTGTGAGCTGCATCTAAATTGTGTAAATGATATTCTGCATTTTCTTATATTTACATCAGTTAAATATTTTTCTGCGCATATTTGCATTTTGAAATATCTATAATATTCGCATTTGCTAGAAACATCTACAGTAGATCTCCATGTTTGAAAGTACATGTCAAAAAGCGTCTGTCTTATTTTCGATATGAACATGGCATGATTCTCTAAGAAACATTGGTTTTCCCAGATGTAACCATACCCACATTTATACAGTAGACATTTAACATTGTATGCCCAATTTTGATCTCCATTCCTTTCATACAATAGCATCATATTATAACATTTTTCTGGCAATCTACTTACTGGCATTTTTAGTAATTTTAACCAGTATCTTATGATGTTTAAGTAGTGATATATATACAAGGGCATGCGACCACATTCACCATAAACCATAACGTTAGAAGTACTGTGTTTAACACCAAGAAATCTTTTGCATGCATATAAATGTACGGATTCATTTTTTTTAGCCTCTGCAAAACCCCATATTTCTGAACCATAGGAAAGAATAGGAGCTATTTTTGTGTCAAAGATTTTGAAGAAAGATTTATAAGCACACTCGCTAAAATGTTCAAACGTTTGTAAAATGCCCAATAGCATCTTTTTAGCTTGGATTGCTGCATTACATATATGTCGATTCCATGATAATTTACTTGAAAATATTACACCAAGATATTTATATGAGGTTTCAGTTTGGAGTAATTGTCCCCGAAAGTACCATTTTTCGTTTTCTGACAGCGGACAATATTATGGATTTTAGCTCTTCACTCTCAAATGAGAACATATGCACAAAACGTCGAATAAGTGTCAGTATATTAGGCAATTTAAGGAGGTCTGGTCTCTTTCACAAACACAAAGTTAAATATTAAACATTGTAATCAGTTAACTGAATAGAGGTCATATCGGCGTGTTATTCAACTCTAACAATAAGGAAATCATGTACGAAAGGTCAAAATGTGTGTATACTTTATTCCATTCTAGAGGAGATATGTCAAAGTTGTATAACCTGCCTGTATTAATAAATTTAAGTACAATATCTACAACGCCTCACTCATGTCACATATGTATATGCACTGCGGGTCACATGGCCTTGCAAGCTAATAATCTTGACATGACCTAAACAATGTACCTTCCTCAAGAAACCAGTGAAGATCTTCAGTGAAGAAGGTGACTATGTCGTAAGAAACGACTAACGGGAACGGGAGGTCAGGCTCGCTGACTTGGTTGATGCACGTCATCGTATCCCAATTGCGTGGTTCGATGCTCATGATATCAATGACTGGATGATATCAATGACTGGATCGTCTGGTTCAGACTCCATTATTTACAGACCGCCGCCATATAACTGGAATATTGCTGAGTGCGGTGTTAAAAAACAAACAAACAAACAAACAAACAAACAAACAAACAAACAAACAAACAAACCTACCTCAAGATGCTGTTGTACGGTCTTGTTTCCCATGGTCACGTCAGCCAAATCATCAAGGTTCAACGTTTTGAGGAAGTTTGAATCCAAAGACGTGTCCCCCTGCGATAACCACATCGCCATCGCTTGGTAGACGAACAGATACTGCTCCTGTATATATGATAGAGTGATATGGTTTACAAAATCAGCAGCAGCAACGCATGTTTTCGTCACCCTTGACTCAATTATATGAATTCTCCTGTGGAGACTGGATTAGGGCAGGCACACAACACTCTACTGGTTGTCTCAATAGGCCACTAAATTGGAAGGTTGGTCGGGCTTGTCGACCTCGTTGTCTGCATGTCTTAAACCGGACAGCGTGGGACATTTGCCTGACCCAGACTCGATTATGTACAGCCTGCCGCGAACAGCTGAAATACAGCTGCCGCATTAAACAAGATTGACTCACTCACCACTCTGAAGATCCACCTACCTTTGTCTGGATCATGTTCTTCCTCTGTCCCCTCATGTTGGAGACGACGCTGACAACGTCAACCACGCCCTCTGTCTTGGCCTGCTCCATTAGACGCTCGATAGCGATGTAGGTCCCTGTACGGCCTATACCGGCACTGGAGTTGTTTTGAAAACAGAAAGATGTTGAGTGAGTGAGTGAGTAAAATGTAACGTCACATCGGCAATATTTCAGCCATGTCATGACGAAACAGTTATAATAATTATTTTGAGATTGAATAAAAAAGCTGTCAACGATGGACAGTATAATAACTGGAGTATCACAGTTTCGATTTTAAAACTAGTTTAGAATAATTAAAAGAATACATTATCATTCAACAATACAATATAAAAGTGGACTAGATCACCAGCAACCAAAGTTAGGCCAGCATACTAGGGGCCGTGGGGACTGACGGTACTTGTGCTTCCTGCACGGTTTTACACCATCCTTTTAGCTGTGGCCATGATATGGATTTTAGCCACCAATTCAAATAACAAAGATACTACGTTTAAAACTGTGGCATGAACAAAGGTACTTTGAATGATGTGGTCGTACATATCCTCTGAGGGGGACAATAATTTTACTCTGCTTTGACCCCCTTTGAGGATACAGCCACTAACCATCTAAGTTACAATTTTTTTATACACTACCAATATTATAAAATATAACTATCAACACATTTCAAAATTTATCAAAAAGTTCAATATCTTTTAAAAACCATAATTAAATGAGGACTTATTCTATTAAAAAGATCCTTGATAGATGATAATTTAAAATAAGTATCCCTTGTGATGGAAAAATCAACACAGTCAAGCAGGACATGCTTGACCGTGATTCTTTCATCACAAGGGATACACAATGGAGGATCCTCACCTTTCAACAAATACTCATGGGTGTAGACAAAGTCGTAAAATGACCTCTTCAAATCGGGACTGACAACCAAAGTAGGTGTAACCAATGTTTGGTTTAATGTCATGTAATTTATTAATACCTACTTGGGTGCCCCACTTCTTTTCCATCAGATCTCGGATATATGATCCAATAACGGACTTGTAAAAAAAGATGTTGAAATTGGACCTAACAAACTATTATTTATTGACACAATTTATATATGTGTTTCTCTTTTGTGATCTACTGAACTATTTTGTGCTTATACAACACCTATATTTTTTCTCTTTTATAATCTGGCAGTTGTGAATGCTCTGTTCTCTCGGCGGTAAGGTAACGCAGATACATTGACGGACAATACTTAACTATTGGCAATCATTGAATAGTGATCCTAGCAACTGCTGGGCTTATGGCCAAGGTTAACTGATTACCAGTATTCATGACCCTTATACAAATAACACTTTACTTTTCGTGACATATCGGGGAATACCTCAACATTTAAAATGATTTTACTGTTTAAAATATATGGACAAAGCATTGATTCGCATTCATTTTGTACTTGATCTATAGAGGATAATCATGGACTAAAAGTCACAGGGTCAAAGTTACGACGTGATATATAAACAGAAGGTGAATATATACATGTGACATATTGCATGGATTCGCATGCGTTTTGTACTTGATCTATATATGATGATGTTCTTCATTTTTTTAACCTTATCAGAAAAAAGATTTCCCTCAATTGCTAACGTGCAGCGACATTGCATTGAATTCTCATACAGCACTATGGCGTCACGCAACGCGGTTACTGTGCATCGATACCGAAGTTGAAGAAAGTTTCGGGGCTACTCCTTATCACCCCTGCCACAACCAATACGTCACCTATACATATTCACCTTCTGTTTATATGTCACGCCATAACTTGGACTTTTAGTCCATGATTATCATCTCATCAGCTGGTGACTTAAAACATGTCCTTGAACCACTCGAATACAAGACTTTTCGTGTGGGGCAGTGAAATTAAGGTCATACCAGCAGACATCCATAAACAAATTATATACACTATTCTCACCTGCAGTGAACTATGATTGTCTGTGTCTGTTCCCTTGATGTTACCTTCACCTTTCTAATGAACTCCAGTAGAGCGGAAGTGTCTGGGACGCCATGATCCGGCCAGCTGGTGAAGTGGAAGTGCTCGAGACACAGCTTCTTGGCAGCCTAAATACAGAGTGGAATTGTTAGTAGAATAATGTATAAGTAAGTATTTATTATATTACTATATTTCAATGAAGATTTTATGAAAATGTAAGAGTACAAAACCTAATATTACATCATACCTGTTTATGTTGCACGGAGAGCTCAGTGACCGTGTAGTTTGCGAAGCGTGTCTGAGTATCCATGGTTACAGATATGTCCCCGTACGTCTCTGTACCTTTTTCCGGCCAGTAACGAATGCACTTCATCTGTGTGCAAATGCATATACCTCGATGCAATAGACTGTATTATACCATCATTTCTCATACTTCGTCGTTCAGTCTGACAATGTTATGATGGTGTCTCAAATACTGCATTGCCACATCATGTTTGTGAGTGAGTGAGTTTAAAAACCGCTTTGAACAGTATTTCTGTTATATCAAAGAGTGTAAACTTGATGTGTGAAGATAGCGCCAAGTGATGCAGGTCTTAGACGTTTACCAGTATGGTGCGAGCACGGATATAGTGCACATTATGTTTGTAACCTTGTAGCCATAACTTGTCATGTTTAGAAGTCGTCAATAGTGGCGCCTGTTTAATAGAGCATACTTGTGATAATATCATCATTATAGCACCATCACCTTGCCTGCTTCGAAGAGACCAGTCACCATGACAACGATTCTGCATTCTTCCTGCCAGATCATCCCCCAGAAGTTGTCCACAACCTCAAGTCTGTAGGGCCCTGTGAACGATATCAGCTCTTTCAGTACTTTGATATACGCAGAGCACTGAAGTGCCCTCATTCACGCAACATCAAAAATATTAAATAAAAGCGACAAAACGATTTCCATAAACAAAAAAAACCCCTCTGCTCCATTGTATGATGCTGAGTATGTCATAATCATGTGATTCATGAATCACCACTAATTAGTGGTACCGGGTGTTCGTGAGGAATAACGGTGGAAAAACAACCATTGATGTACGAATAAATCATACCTTGTGCTGCGATGTAGCGCTTTTCGATGTTGTATCCCTACAACATATATTTAGTGGTGAGGGTTGAATCGAAACCAAAATCACACTGCACATATATTATCATTTATAACAAATAGTGACACGATACGGAGGGCTATGATTATGATAAAACACTAAACCATCATATATCACACTGAGTATATATTGTAAATGATAATGAAACGATACGGGAGGTTACACATGTATGGTCATAATGTAGCACTTAACGCTTACGTCCACATAGCTGGCGTTGATGTAGTCTCCTCCACCGCCGCTGTTGTCGTCATGCAGCACCACACGGTTGTAGTCGTCTATACAAAGACACAAAACCAGATCAGGGGCGAAACATTTAAAAAATGTGATAAATTGTACCCTGTTTTCGTGTTGTTTGTCTCATGCATTATAGTCATAGTATAAACGAATTATGCTTTGCAAGCCTGGACATGTATCTTTTGTTTCTTTTTCAGTCAACGTCCCACTTGAATTATCAACTATGCACTTACACCGAATATGTGTTTTAGTTCAATACTGTAACATCTATGTCTGCGGACATGCACAAAAAGGTTTGGTCTTCTGCTGTTGTGATACTTGTGCACACAGAAGCTGACAAACTATATCAGCTAACCAGGAGATATTAATGATGCATGTATATGCCATTGTTTGTATACTCACAGTTCGAATGAACTTTTGCATTTTATTTTTGGATGTAAAATACTTAAGGTTTGTTATTGCTGACATATCACTAATATGCATAAAGAAGCAGACAAACTCACCTAACCAGGAGACCTTAGTGATGCTTGCATGTGTCATTTGTATGTATTTTCACAATACAAAGGTTTTGTTTGTTTTAGTTTTAGTTGTTTACTACATCAACTTGATATAAACAATATAATCGGTAGATTACTTATTACTGTGCTAACTTACACGGGTAGTAGCCTTTAAATCTATTCTTCCCTTTGTTTTCCGACAGCTGAGATTCTTGGTGGGGGTGTATGAAACCAACAGGCAACCCCTGAAAGTAACCAAACATACTAGTAGCCGATCAGTGCCTGACGCTCATGTCACCTTCAAAACTTTCAGCAAAACAGCCGAATTGACCTGAACATGGCATCTCCTCATGCCATTATGAAAAAAGACATAACAGACCTGAAATTCCTCCTGAGTTTCCTCCGGTCGTTCCACCATTCGCCGAACTTTGGCCTCCAACTCCGACACTGGTGTCGCTCTACCCAATCCCACTTCCCCAAAGTTGTAGTAGTTCCTGTCCTGAAGATCCACAGCAGCATCTGGTCCAAGGACAGGCGGATCATAGTCCTCCTCAACCTCAATGATGTCGTGTTGCAGTGGCTGGCTATTTTCACCCCTTTCCTCATCTTTAACTTCTCCTACTGCGTTGTCTCTCACTTCGTTCTTACCTGAGAACACATGACACACATACAAGTCCGACCTCTTTCGGGAACGTATTAGTTCCAGAGTCTTCTGCTTTACTGGAATTTATGAGCAAGGACTAGATTCGTACCACTGAACAAAGGCGAGACGACTTCATAAAACTGTGTCGTATAGCTGTGATAATGTGTGTTTAATTTGATCTTTTGATGGTGTTACTTGATACAGTTTTTACAATTCTACATGCCAAATGACCAACATTTCTTTAGCCAAAGCTCATATGTATTGAAACTGTTTTGTTAATCATTTAATCCAACAGGACACATGGAACACATAAGCAAACAAAGTTTAAAGGTATGTGGCATCACACACACATTGTTTGAGTTAATAGACAATGCTTACCGTGTTTTTCATATTTTGTAGATTTACAATTTTCCCTATGGCCAACAACTCGTTCAGGCACCGATGCTGCGGACTGTTTTCTCCTTCGTCGTCTGGAAATATGAAGAGAATTTACAAACATAAGCAACAGGTAAAGGACTGCTGGCAACCATTAAGGGTTTTGAAAACATTGTACTTACACCAGCAATATCGTGATGATGACGAAGAACAGAAGTATCACAGCAGCGGTTGCACATCCCGCAATGGGGGCGGTCGGGTAGCCTAGTGGTTAAAGCGTTCGCTCGTCACGCCGAAGACCCGGGTTCGATTCCCGACATGGGTACAATGTGTGAAGCCCATTTCTCGTGTCCCCCGCCGTGATATTGCTGGAATATTGCTAAAAGCGGCGTAAAACTATACTCACTCACTCACTCACATCCCGCAATGGTAGACACGGGTAATGGTTCCTGGCCTTGAATAACAAAGACATATTATTGGGTAGATATTATGTGATTTAAAGTAACGATGAATCGTAGATGTCGTAAATGAATGAGTCAGAGAGCCAAGTTGAGTCAAGTTGCCTTTTAGATAATATTAGCTAGAAATCTCGAATCAAACATCAAAACAGAGACTGTTATCTGGACTCCCTGGTTAAAGAATGAAAAGACAGAACTCAGTTTTAAGTAGTAACTGTGGCATTTTTATCAGCAGTACCAGGCAGGTACACATCATATGCAAAATATTCTGCTGTTTCTTTTAGGCAAAATTAATACAAGGAATGTGGCTACGAATTTTAACTTAAGCATCAGGTATATCAATGATATCGTTCAAAGAGACCAGTGAAAACGCCTCATCTGTTTCATATTTAGATCGATACATGATGATTCAGTGTGACAAAATATTCTCGCCAACGACTGAATGACAAGATAGGATAGCCTAAAAGTTCCAATAGTGAGCTTCCCCTATTTTATTTCTTTTATATACACAAAGAAAAAAGTTAAGCACAACCCTATTTCTGAACCATGACAAATAGCAAAAATCATGGCATGGGATGACTGACCACAGGAGTTGGGCAATACCAATGCAATCGGATAGAACAAACATTTGACAACAAATAAAGAAGATTTTGGTGAGTTGTGATTGAACGTTACTGACAAAAACATCATGGTAATACAGGTACTGTTTTTGACCTTAGACAATACCTAAAAAAGTATGAAGCTGCAGGATTAAGTAAACGAGTTAGGTTTGATGTTTCATGTGAAAATGTTCCTTAAAGTCTCTACTTGACATGAGACCTGAAACAGATCAGCAGCGGATATAACCGCCATGTGCCCGGATGATGCATTCCACCCTACGTCTCATGCCTCCAGTCAGACGTTGGATCTGTTGATGGGTCAACAACAACCACTCCTGATGCAATGCTACTTCCAATTGGCGTAAATCTTGTACAGGAGGATCTCGTGCCTGTATGCGCCGCCCCAGAATATCCCAAACATGTTCAAGGGGGTTCAAATCTGGGCTCATGTGGGCCAGGGTAGAGTCGTTATTACATTGGCCCTCATGTAATCAACGACTGAATGCGAAAGATGAGGCATGGCATTGTCATCCATGTACTGAGGTTGAGTAGCAATAGTGTGGTTGTCAAAATGAGGAACGATGACTGGCCTCAAAACGTCCCTTTTAAGTTGCCCCTTATGGTGACCAAATCCAACCTGCAATCATGAGAGATACACCCCAAACCATAACCGAGCGCCCGCCGTATGCAACAGTTGGTTTAATGTTCCTTGGGGTGTAGGCCGTGTTCCGGTGCCTCCAAACTGTCGTTCTTCGATCAGTGACGTGGAGCAGAAAACGACTTTCGTCTGACCAATGAATCCGCATATCAAGTTCTCAGATTCTAGTTCTGGGTACAATGTGTGTAGCCCATTTCTGGTGTCCCCCGCCGTGATATTGCTGGAATATTGCTAAAAGCGGCGTAAAACCATCCTCATTCACTCACTAACATGTGGTGCCAGCTCCACATTTTCGTCCCGCGCATGCGTTGTTACAGTTTATTTCATAGTTGCCTTCACCACACTTTTCAGTACTCAAGGCGATTGACACGAAAAAGGGAGATTGATGTTTAAGGATAAAACCTTTTTCATATTCACAAGAAATCTCTGCCAAAATCAGAGTCAATTGTATGATTCCGACTACATCATGAGCATGTGTTTATGAATCACTATCGAATGGTGATGATACTATGTCTTAAGGAAAAGGTGGCCATATCCTGCCCAACCGGTGTCACCCGTTACAAAAACATGCAAAGGCAAGTCAATTGTTCATCTGAAAAATACACGGGGACATGTGGTACAAGTCAAAATAGGGAATTGCACCCGACATCATTCTCCTTAATAATGTGTCAAATTTCGTCAAGAGAAGTACTTTTGACCCTATGAATCAGTATATATACTAGCCACATAAAGAAACTGTGCACGGAGAAAATATATTCTGGATTGAAATACAACACAGCAAGAACAAAATGATGCAGACGCTGTAGCAGCTGAATGATCGGACCATGAGAAAATGTCAACGGGACCTGAACAACATCTGTTACGATGACGTCAGAAGATCAAAATGGAGTAGGGGGTCAAACGACAAAGTCACAAAGTCAATAACGGGTATGACCACCCTGTGCGTGAATCACAGCAGTGCATCGGCGACGCATGGAGTCCACCAAATGGGCATGGAAGGCCTGGGGAATGGCCTGCCATATCCTCCTCAAATCCTGTGCCAAGTCACGGACGTTATCTGGAGGATGTGGAAGACGACGCAGACGGCGCTCCATTTCATCCCACACATGCTCTATTGGGGAGAGATCTGGAGAATTTGCAGGCAATGGCAGTAACATGACATTGTTATGGTGGAGGAAATCCATTGCAACCCTAGGTTGGCGAACATGATTTCGACACCATCTTAGACGGTTGACTCGATGACGGTGTGTCAGGATGGGACGTATGGCAGGGCGTCGTGGTCGAATCCCGTACTGACGTAAACGATTCCTGACAGTGTTGGGATGGATACGGCGCAGTCCAGGAATTGTCTGGGACGTCGTTACTGCCGTTTGGAACCTGTGTCGGAGATGTGTAACTCGAATCCATCTGTCCTGTCTTGGCGTCGTTACTCGGGGACGTCCTGAATGTGGGTGGTCGGCAACGTCATTTGTGTTCGGATAACGCCTCACCAATGCCGATATCGTGTTACGATGGCATTGGAAATGTGTTGCCACCTGTTGTTGCCTCATTCCCGCTCGGATTATTCCAATGGCTTCATGACGCTGTGCAGCTGTCAATCTTGGCATGATTTGCTTGTGATATGCTTGTGTCTGCGCCTGAGAAGTTTTGAATTTTTAAATGACCACAGATCATGCTTTCCAAAGTGACAGCGAATTTTGAGTTGCACATGCTGTGTACAGCTGCACAGGATGCACGTGCAGTAACACATTGCACGTCCATAGGTCCCCATCAACGACGTCATATCGCATGGCACGTGCATGAGCGTTTGAATGTCTCCAATAATTGCTGTGTTCAAACCTATATTTCATATATGGACGGTGTGCTCTTATATCTATATTTTTTCCGTGCACAGTTTCTTTATGTGGCTAGTATATATATATATATATATATGTGTGTGTGTGTGTGTGTGTGTGTGTATGTGTGTGTGTGTGTGTGTGTGTGTGTGTGTGTGTGTGTGTGTGTGTGTGTGTGTGTGTGTGACGGCCTCATCAGTGTCACACCAGTGCCTTTGTCATCTCGTCTACCGTCTTAAGGACACACGCCATTGACTAGATCACACCACACTAACTGACAGTATTATGTCCTCATTTTTATTACATCTGGGTACCTGTATTTGGTTAAACTTAATTATAACTCTCTGCCATCCAGGTCTACAGTCTCCAGGACACACACCACTGACTGGGTCATACTACATCTGACAGTGAGACCATCTCACCTGTATCACACCTCTGTCCCTGCCACCCTGGTCGTCAGTCTCCAGGACACACACCACTGACTGGAGAACACTACACCTGACAGTAAGACCTCCTCACCTGTATCACACCTCTGTCCCTGCCACCCTGGTCTACAGTCTCCAGGACACACACCACTGACTGGACAACACTACACCTGACAGTAGGACCTCCTCACCTGTATCACACCTGTCTCCCTGCCACCCTGGTCTTCAGTCTCCAGGACACACACCACTGAC